CGTTGCTTGGAGGCATAAAGTCTCTGGACATGAGAACTGGTAAGTGCGGAGGAGGGGGGTGTTGGCCGAGTGGTAACAGCTGCTTCTCGGTCTCCACCGGTCCAAGTGGAATGTTTTTTGACCCTTGTTTATAGAAAGAAGAAAGAAGTTCTACTACAAAAATTTATCGGCACGTACGTCGATAATCTAAACGCGGTGGAGCATCTCTCAACAAGTGTCTGCATAAACCTTGAGGCTTCGATTAATACCAAGCGAATGAAAAAATAAACGGAACAGTGCACGTAACCTGCTCCTTTTGTTTTTTTTCCTGAAAATTCTACGGTGCATCAACTAATGTCCTGCTTAGACCCAACTGTCCACTGCATTCTCTAGCGGGTTCATTTCTGAAAAGTCTGCATGAAAAAGTACATGTATGTTGGAACCGGCGAGTAGCCACATTGTATGCATTCCAGCCTGCTTTTCTAAATAAAATTCGAAGATCTGCTTGAAAAGCCCGTTTTGGTAAACTCCAGCCAGGCCTGTTTAGGTGGAAACGGCAAGCAGGAATTGAGTACTTTCCCTGTAGTGTAGACAGATCGAGCCATTTCTGAGTTTAGAGAATCTTTCTTAACGTGACACAACAGTAAATTGATTTCGACTCCTCGCTTAGTTGGCGGGTAGTAGCGGCAATTACCTTGGGAGGAGGAATTAACGAGTAATCCCGTTTTAGTACTATGTACTTGACTACTGTATTTATGTAAGTAGGCATGTAATACCGCTTATAAAATTCAATCTGTCAGCCTTCAGGTTACCCTACGTTTTAGTGTAACCTTCTGGGTTTTTAGATGGATTTTTTTCATGGACTTATGTCTGGGATTTTGGGTGAGAGTGTGCAAGTAGGATAAGCGGTAGACTTACTTACAAAAGTCAGAGCTTGGATTACGATTAGTTTTGCGGATGCAGTTGCTCTTGGAATGAAGATTTGGGTTACCTTAATGGATAACGGATTCTGTACAGTAATAAGTATGACTACGCCTGCTTAAATGCATGTGGTGGTTATTTAAGTATAGATATCTACCGTTGGCGAGCAACTGACATCTTACGCATCCCAGAAATGCAAAGTGCGTCAAGGTCAGCAAACACCTACCTCTATCTTCGTTCTCCTCCATTCCAGTCAGGAAGCTCTTATGATATTTCGTTGTATCAGCATAGCACACACCCGACTGACTGCTAGAATCGCCCTCGCTATCGGCTCCACTGTCTGTGCCGCTGAGGAAAGTCTGGCTGTTGGAGGAGACGTCAAAGGAGGATGTAGCGCGTTGGTGCCCGGTTACTGCAGCAGCTGGGTCATTGTAGTCGGCATCGGCGCCTAAGAGGACCGGAGAGTCAAAACTGTTTGATCGGGCATCTTCCGCAACAAGACCGGACTTTTCCATGCGATTATGATCATGGCTGTCTCGAGCAAATGAATCCGACCAGTTTTGCCTGCCTGCATCCCGTCGCAGCCGTTTTTCTTTCGCCCTGTGAGTATTAAGGAAATAACTCAGGTCAGGTCAGCTAAAGTTTATCAAAGGAAATATTGAAAATGCCCTTGACCTCCCCTTCTGGTACACAGCAGCTAAGAAATGTATTTGGTACATCAAAACATTTCAAAAGAGGTCTTTTACATAATTGCATACGAAAAGCGAGCAGACGCCGGTTAGTTTTGAAAAAGGGTAAACATAACCATCTACTCACGTGTTTTAAGTAATACAATCATATGTGTGTGAATTAGTCTTGTACCTAGACTTATTGGTGATGCCAAGTGACACGAGTGAGTAGGTGGAAGTGAGTAAAAAGAGCAGACAGTGAAAAATCTTCCCAGGCTTTGTTCAAAAATTCTAGAATTTTGAATGCCGTTTGAGGAAATTTAAGAAGAAAAAAACTATCGCTCTTGGGCGGAAAGTATACACCCTTGCAGGTTACCGACAAGGTGATTCTGGAAACTGCGACACGTCTTTCAAAATTAACTGTGGTACCTTGACGCTTATCGATACACAGAAAACAATATTTTCAAACCAGAAAACTCCATTTTGCAAATAAAGACCATGACGATGAGCTTCTGTGCGAGTTTGAAAGCTCAGAACGATAAATTAACTTTTGTGATATTAGACAAGCCTTCTCTTTTATTTATGTAAACACCTAGAACGCGTACTTTCTCATTCGTTCATTCAAAAGAAAACGGCAAGTGAGCATTCTAAATGCACATATACAATCTGGTGCCAAAAAGCATGCTTGCGCCTTAATCCAAAAAAAACTTCCATCCGTATTTGCATTTTGGTAAAAATTCGAATGTGCGACGACCGTGTGTCTGACACTCCAACAATAACCACGCAGACTTTCGGACTCCAAGTAATAATGGCAACGCACGTGGATTCATTATATTAATTTACCGATTTATACAAATTTAACTACTTCTTTAACCTAAATAATTATGATTTTAAAAATGTGTTTGTCATCATACGAATGGTTAACTTACTTTTTTGAAATACCTATACTAGTTATCGGTTGTCTCGTACGCCCAAACGACCCTTAAATAACAAAACCAATTTTCATAGCTGAGTTGGAGTCAAGATGATCAAGGGGGTTTCGGAACCATGCTATACACATCGCAGAATCAGTAAGTTCGTGTCACTACATAAAGAGTAACCAGAACAAGACAATTGCTTTGGATGATTCAACGCAGTTTACTGCTCGTCACTACCAAGGTGCCGCCAAAGAACATAAGAGCTTTCTTGCTGACCCATTTCGGACTCATATATCTTCATGCAAACACCTTTTTTGCCTTTTTGTCATTTCAAACAAAGTGAGTTACCTACACCCTTAGAATGGGTCTGATGAATACTGAAAGTCCCGCTGTATATCGTCTTTAGACCCAGGGGACCCTCTCCTGCTATCCGTGTTCGTTAGGAAACATGAAGGTCTGTTTTTCAAGCCTCAGCATCTACTAAACGAAATTTCTAGTCAAATTCTTTTGCGGAATTTCTCGTTCCATTGAGTTTCACAGTAAGTCGACTCGGTTGTGTTCCGTTTCGCTGTTTCTACTTCCGTTTGAGTGTGGTTGTATGCAATGTCAAATTACTGTGTTTCTAGTCCTTGCCTATATCATGCTGAGACGGCTTGAAGTTGATTAGACTTATCGAAATTTGTTAGTACAGTAAAATGTCTATCTTATGACATGTAAGCCAAAATTATGAAATATGCTTTCTAAAATATTGAGTATGCTTGTGAGATTGATTAGTATGCGATATAATCTTAAAATATTTCATTCACCACGGGATGCTGGCTTTTGAACGAATTACCCTTTGACCACCAGCAAGAAGCATATTCTTTGTACAAATGGCTACTTGAGTAGTATGCGTTTTTGTTGGGAGGCTCGAGCACGTCACCCAGACAGAGACACAGAGAGTCCGAGGTCACGCCGGACAAGTCAACCCTTGTAACAGTGGGAGGTGTTAG